CCCTGTGTCGGGGACGCGGGGTGGGCAAGCCTCGGAAGGCCTCGTCGTGAGGGTATGGCCTGTGCTATTTAATTTTTTTGTAATCATTGGGGTAGGAAAAAAGAGCAGGTAGGGTATCATGTATTCGTTATTTCCTGAAATAGTGACCGGCATGAGCGATATGCAATTAATTAAAGTCAAAGCAGTGATGCTGTAAAAGTGAAATACGTTCAATGAAGGGAAATATTCTTGTACTGCTCAATTGGGGCTCAGTATTTCTACAGTGTTTATATTTACAGGTTTGGTGGGTTATCTCTCAGGAAGAATTTGAATATAGTTAATTTTCAATGCATAGAGTATAATTTTTCTGTAAGAACGGTTGATTTTTCTCTCCATCTCTCTTTCAGTCTCGGTACTTACATGAAGGGAAGGATGACAAGCCTCAAGTAAATGAAGTGCCGCATTTAATTTGATATAATAGTGATCATAAACAAAATTAGGAGAATTAAAGAAGAAGCTGGTATTAAAAGTCATCAAGAACACATACCTTGTTTGGCTTTTGGGGAACATGAGCATTGCTGAAGATGTTTAATCTTTATTTTTAATACACACTTTAGCTCTTTTTTTATGTTAAATTCTGTGAGTTGAGTGACAAAATACTCAGTTGATCTTGAGTACTTGATACTGGGTAACAAAACTGCAATACTGTTGGAACGTAGTGCACATGACATCAGAGATAAGAAAGCAGAGGAAAAACTTTAAAAAGGGGGAGAAGGGAAAAAAGTCATACCCACCAGTTCTCCAGTTGTACTATATCGTTGTGTAATTGGCCATCATTGTCCTATGAAAAGATTTGAGGTGATGTATTCTGTTTTAGGATTTTCAACTAAATTTTTCATTAAAATAGACTTTTTTTTAACAGCTGAATGAAATTTCTTCCTTTTTCAGATGCAGCTTACTTAAAGCCTAGATGGGTGAAAAAGAACTGAGAATGGAGGCGTTGACCTCTAATTGCAGAATTTTTTTCTCAATTTTCCTTTGAAATAGTGTTTACGCAGACTTTTCTAAAGACTACTAATCACTCTAGAATTTAAGGATATTTTTTCCCCTTTCTTCTTGAACAGTGTTATCTTTGTGGCTTTCAGTTCCCGTTATTTTTATTCATAAGTTCTCATGAATTATCACAAGGATAAGCCTTAATTGCTTATTTTACAGCTAGCTATAACATTTTCTAGAGTAGCTTTCATTCATGCAATTCTAGAACTTAGAAATGAGTGTGAGGAAGATGATGAGCTGCCCCAAATCCATCAAACTTAATTTTCCTGTGTGTGCTTGACTGCTAGCTATGGCCTTGACTTCTGCTTAATCAGAAACTAAGTGTTTTATACCCATTTCACATTCTTGTGTTCCTGTGCATTGAGTTGAGGGAATTACCTCACCAAACATGGTGATGTTAAGTAGAAGTAATTGAGTAAGGGTTTGATTTTTTTTTTTTTTAATGTTTGATGTAAGCCTTCTGCTCATTTTTCAGATGTGCTTCTCTCCCTGTGTAGTTGGTACTTTAAGGGACCTCCACTTACATACAGTTCTGTATTTATGAGAAAAGTGAATAGTAGCTTTTGTTGTGTTTTGAATAAATAGGGTTGCTAGGGCATAATTTAACAAAAGGAGATCTCATGATCTTTTATTTCAGAGTACTATTGTCTTTCTGGAGCCCTTTCCCCAGAGTGTTTTATTCAGTGTAATTCTGCATTGTGTGTCACATGCTTCTTTGAAGACATCACTGCAAATGTCATGTAGTCAGGAATGTATTAAAAGGATCATTTGAACTTCGATGGTGTTTTGGATTTTGTAGATATGCTTTTGTGAGATATTTTAAATAATCGCTCAAATTAGCTGAAGCACTTTCTTGGCGTTTCAGTTAACCTGCCAAAGTTCGGTCTGGCATGGAGATGTGTGAGGGCATGTCTTTAATTTCTTCTTTCTGCTATGAGCTGCTTCTTTGAACAATTCTCTGAACACTTTTCTTTGTTAGTAGGATACAGCCCCAACCCTTTAGTATGATGATTCAAGCCAGTTCGGGCACTCTCAGAATCAAATACTTGACTTTTGTGTTTGCTTTGACAATTGACAGTTCTGGGCAATGTTGTCAAGGTGTGAGAGAGGTGTACTGGTTACACCAAGAATGTATGTTTCTCCCTCCTTACATTGAGACAATGGCCTTAAAAATGATCCTTATTCATTCCAAGAGCAAGCCAAAATTGCTAACTTGTAATGTGCCATATATGAACTATTCAAAACCAGCAATTTATCTTTGGTAAATTGCACCCTGTAGTTATACCCTAAAGTATAATTTTATCATGTGCTGGCATTGTCTTCACTCAGATAATGTAACGGCTTTATGACAAGCTAACTGCAAGCCTCTAATATATGCTATTTTATGGTTTTGGTTATAAAAATAATAATTAACAAAATACTTGTCTTGTAATGTTTGTCTTCAGAAAGAACTGGTAATAGAGTTGCTAGGAGATGTCTTGCTGCTTGCAGTTACCTGTGATGTATTTTTCTGCGTGGCTGTACATTGCTAGAAGGGCATTTCAGTCTTAAGCTGTTGTCCTTGGTAAGAGGAGCTCAAGAAGAAAAGTACTGTTGTGCCCCTTGTATTTTGATAGGCTAATTATAGTATTTGAGATGTTCCATTGTTTTGGTTTTCAAGTGTAGCAACGATAGGTGAGTGTTTGGGGAAATTGCTTTGAATTTTATCTTTTCCTTGAAATCTGCAAAGTTTAAATATGGTGGGGTAGGGGAAGAGGGGGCAGAGAGAGAGATGTCTGTCTTTCCTCTCTTTGAGCTGAAAAGCACAGAAATTCCCCTGTTGTGTCATAACGCTGTCCGAGCAGTCTTTCAATGATAAGCAGGCAAGAGATAATGATGCATCACCTTTTTTTTTCCTACCTCTTTCCCCCAAATAAACTCCCCAGTGCAGGGAAAGAAACAATCTTTTGTGCCGTTTTTATACATTATATATAAGGGAGAAGTTCTTGAACTCATCTGCTTTTGGTTTTTGGAAGGCTTTCATGGGACGTAATCTCAAGAGAAACTTAGCAGGGGACTGTCAGAATGGATTACAGCCTCAGATTTTTCCTAGTAAGTTTTGTAACGAGAGGCAGACTCATGGCAATAACTGTGTGGGCAGAAATGAATGATGGCACAGGAAGCTACCATATAGAAATCTAGTGAGCACTTGTCGTAGTCAGAAGTACAAAATAAGAGGCTTGCAGTTAGCACAGTCATCTTAAAGAAGATTATGTTGTTTGGGTGGAAAGAATGCCAGTACATGATATACCTGAATCTTAGAAATATACAAGCTGTTATCTATAAAGGATAAATTGCTCTGTCTTTGAATAGCCCAGTGCTCTGAATAGCTCAGCCTTCTTATCTAAAACTGAAATTTGCAACCCTGCTTGGGTGCATTTCCCCTGAAAAGCAGTGCAGCATATATAAGTTCCTGGAAAGCACATAACACTGATGGTTTTACTGTTAAAATATTAGTGAATGTGTGGTGGTCTTAGACAGATTCTGATCCTTATTACTTTAAACTTGTGCACATTAAAAGAATACAATCTGTAATAACTCTAGCTATGTGTTGTTTGCTGATGGCTGTTTTTTTCCATGAACTATAGGTTTGGCAATGAAGCATCCTGCAAAAAACGAGAAGATTATTTGGAATGGCCTGAATATTTTATGGCAGTAGCTTTTTTGTCAGCACAAAGAAGCAAGGATCCAAGTTCTCAGGTAAGAAGGCAACATATAAGAATAACATAACCTAATCTATATTGCACATTGCATCAGATGCACATGTAGCACTTTCAGGAATTTCTTACTAAAAGTTATTTTGGTATATAACTATTCGTTTTTTAACATGGTCAGCACCTTTTGTTACAGAAATTCTCTTACAGGGCCTGACCTTGTGTATAATTCTGTGTGTACATCTGTGGCGTGGAGTTTTGTAAATCTTCTTTTCATCTAGAGGTTAAAATAACGTGCATTTTCTCTCCTTTTTCCAGTAAATATAGTTACTGTTAGAGGAGGATATAACTACTTTAAGTTTTAGAATGTAATTTTTTAAGACACAGCATTTTACAAATTCCTTTTCCTCACCTGTAAGAGTATAAAAATTCCCTTTTGTTTGTTCTTGGATTGACTGGAGTTTTCTTCTAGTTTGGTTCCTCCCTCAGGTTCTCCTTCCGCCTCTGCTTCACTGTGTGTCCCCATTCTTTGCTTCTTTCATGTGCCTCTGTTGAATATTGGTTTGAGGCGATTGATACATCTCCTGAAACATGCTGTTCTGCAGGACCCCAGTCATCCTGTTAGTCTTCCTTTCTGTGAAAAAGTCCAGGAAGCAAATCAAAGGAAAGCCATAGAGTAAATGCATGTTAACAGTCTGCTCAATTACTCGCTGTCTTCTGTATGTTGTGGCTCTTAGTTCTCCGACAGTTATTCACTTAGGGTTAAATTTTTGTTACTGGCGCTGGCTGATAAAGCACATTGCATGAACTAAATTTCAATACATCTAAAATATAGACAGAAAACATAAAAATGTGACACTTCATCATTATATAAGAAGAGTCCTTGTGTGGACTTGGATTGAAGTAATAAAGGGTGGGAGTTAAAAGGTCTGGTATTTTGGTGCACATTTGTGTAAACAAGCCACAAAGGTCTGTGAGCCTATCTCTGCCTAGGTCAACACTACTGCATTTCTGTTCCATCTTCCATACTACTTCTTTTGCTGCTGCTACTCATACTGCTGTGGGAAAAGCTAGTTTGGGGAGTTGAACTGACAGAAAACTAATATTTAGTAGGGTTAGTTCAGTGCCGGTTCTGTTCCCTGAACTAGGTTCACTTCCTAGTCGGACAAGGAAGTGCTGGCAGGCTGGTATGTGGACTGCACGACCAGAAGGGTAGCAGGGTTGCATCTGTCCTGGTTTATTTTACAGCTCCACCACTTAGGTACAATTGTAGCCTTGCTCACTGGATGATGTGACTTAATATTAAGTGAAGCTTGTATCTCTTAAATGAAAATTGTAGGACTGACTTTTCAGGTCTCCTCTTTCTTGTCGATATATCATTTTGCCTGCTGTTAGTACTATATAAATCTGATTTTATTTAGGTTGGTGCCTGCATTGTAAATTCAGAAAACAAGATTGTTGGAATTGGATACAATGGGATGCCTAATGGCTGCAGCGATGATGTACTACCCTGGACAAGAACAGCAGCACATAGATTGGACACAAAATACCCTTATGGTAAGGCTTCTTGTAGTTGGCAGGTCAGACTTACGATGTCTGTATATGTGAAAGTTCAGCTGGTAAAATATCAATCAGTTTTTCTTCCACTCATCTGATTTTGTTAATGTGCCCGTATGTGATACATCAGCATACAAATTACAGCTCTGAAAATAAATGAAAACAGTCTTTATGAAGGACTGACTTCCTGGTAAAGTATGTTCATAAATGATTAGCCATTTTGGATTGTGTAGTGAAAACTTGTAAATATAATGCCGCTCATTAGCACACAGTTGCAGTGGATGCAGGTGATTGCTGCTTCTGTGTGTTCATCTCCACAGAAACTGCAGAGAGCATGTACAGGCAAAACAAATAATTGGGTCTAAAATACAGGTATTAAAATTGTAAACTCCAGTGGTTGTGGGAAATTCCAGTGTTCAGATGTTGATGGCATAGGCAATACATATTATGAAGGAGCTGAATTTTGATCGTCTTGAAGTACGTGATTTCCTTCTGTCATTCCATGCCATTTTTGCCTCATCTGGTGCATGGTGGATCTACCCTGCAGTGGGTGAGGTGACTTTCATTGTTTATTTCAGCCTCTGATTTGATTCACATTTATTAAATAGGCAAAAGGAATGAAGAGCAAGGATGGCTTCATGGTAAATGTGGCTGAGTGCTGCCTTGGATCCTGTGTTAGTCTTTGCAGAAGGTGTAGTTTGGCCTTCTGCAAGCCTGCTCAGAAGGGTCCTCTGTGAATCGTGGTGCACCTATCAACAGGGCTTTGCAGTTACTCCTCTGAGCCTGGTGTAGTTTGCAGGAACCAAGGAGACAACTTGCTGGGCTGCCTCAGGCTTCATGCCGTGAGTGCTGGGCATGGAAATGGAGTTGAGAGCAGCCTTGTGGTCTGCAATAGATGGTGTTGTGGAGGAACCGTGGTTAGGACTGATAAGGAAGGAAGGAATGTATGCTCTCTTAAATCCCCCTTCATCTCTCTGCTTCCACATCAGCTCCCACTGCATCTCCGTTGGGTAAGACTAATGCAGCAGAATCCATGGGCACAGGAAAAATGGGTATTAGCTTCATCCTGTGCTGCATCTCAGCCTGTCCTGGGCTCAGGAGTGGCAGGGGGAAGAATCACAAAAATGAAGAAGAGCCCTGGGAAATTCTTCCTTCCCCCTACATGGGTGGGGGGAAATGAGCACTGGAGTTCAGCTTTTGCAAAAAGATACTGACTCTTTTCCAGTGTACAGTATTTTATCTCTGCCTGCTAACGCAATTTTTTACTTGTAACTTCTAACAATTGGTCAGATACAGAAACTAGATTTGCATGAGTTTTGACATTCCCTGTGTTCACCCAGAGCACTCTCTAAAAACTGGCATTACATTTTCTGGCTTCCTGTAGCATCGAATGAAAGATGATATGCAGTGGTTCAGCACATAATTCATCGGTTTCATATTTGAGTTCTTAAAACCCCGGTACTTTGTCCTTGTTCACTTTACCAATTTATTATAAAACCTCTAACCTTAACTCTTAAGCTTGAGACAGTTTCATATTATTTTTCATAAGAGATGTATTCCCAATACCAGGGCCAGCTCCTGCCAAATTTTAAGCCTGCTCTAAAGCACAGAAGCACTGGTTTTACATATAATGACAGTGTCATAATGGTACAACTTGGTATGACCGCTCCTTATTTATAGGGTGATGAAACAAGTGTTAGCCCATTGATTAAATATAAAATACTGAAAAGAGAATATTGGTTTTGGTTGAATCTCTATGCTGCAAGGTGTCAGTTCTGAACTAAGATCAGCATGGGTGGTCTCTGGGACCTGAGTATGTTCCAGGCATTTAAATCTAAGCTGCCCAATTTAAACTAAAAAGGCTGTATGAATTTGTGAGGAATCTTTGTACAAGATGACCTGAGAAATATAATTTTTTTTAATTTAACTCTGACTCCAAAAGATGTGGAGTAAAATAAAAATCGTGATGTTTAAAAAATGCACTAACCAATTTAACAGCCTGGAGAGACAAGTTTATTTCTAGAAGTTGGTCTAACTACTGCCCTTCCCCCCACCACCCCAAGAATCTTAGTCTTCACCTCATTAAAAAAAATCACAACTTTGTAACATAAAGTGTCTGCTGTGATGAATAAACGACCTATTTTGTAATTCACAGATCATTTAAACTCTAGCAGTTTCTTATTAATCTTGATAGCACAGTTGACAGACCAGACAAGTATATCTAAAAAAAAAAAAAATCTTCTGCTTTAAAAATTCTGGTAGATGCAAAGAGACACATAGAATTGCTGCTAAAATCTCATTAAACTGTCATGTTTTCCTTTCCGCTTTTGCTAATCACCACAGCACTTGTGTAAATTGAACTTTTTATCCTTGCTTTTTCCTGACTAGCTTGTTTAGAGATTGTACGATCTTACTGTGTGCTCCATTAGCTTATCGTGGGAACGCTGGCACCTTCATCACTAGAGATGCAATGTAGCTTATTAGGTAGAGCTGACGGTAATAGTGCATGTACCACCACGTGAACTTGGAAGACGTCTTCTAGAGGTACTTCATGTATCTGCAGTGCTACATACAAGGGCTGCGGGTGGATCTGAATGCTGACCTCCTGGTTTTGTGTACTGTTGTAGGTTAGGCATAAACATTAGCTCACTTCCCATCTGTTTTGGACCACTCAGACTAGCTTTTTCCAGAACAAAGCCTGTGAATGGCTCCCTCAATGGCTGCTCTGGAGGGCAGGGTGGGAAAACCAGCTGCAAGAAAACTATCATCCTGTATAGGCCTATAAAGCAAAGCCTGCTGAGATGGTATGCTTAACCCTCCTCCTTCCTTCAGGCCATACTGGGGGATATGCAAGGCACACTGTTTCATGCTGTGAAAATACCACTCTGGTGGACTGCAAAAAAGTCATCTCACTTCTTTATGCACTTTGAACTGAGACGTACAACATAAGTATGTGGCGCTGTGGGACTCTTGAGACGTGGAGCCTTGAGGAAACCCAGGGCCAAGTGCTATGTAATGCTGATGGAGCCCTGAGTAAGATGAACACAAGCCAGTCTATGCCAGTTGGCCTCGGGGCCAAGGGTAGGTTCCTGGCCCTGTCTGGGTGTAGCAGGGCATTGGACCCAGAGGCTATCCTTGCAGAATTGTGTTGGATAATCCTATAATAAATTTATTGAGCTCCAGCAGACCCCACAGCTGTGATCAGATTCACTGTTTCATGGCTAGAAAACTTCCAATTTCCACCCTAAATTTATCTGTGGTTAGTTTATACATTCTTGTGTGTGCCGGCATCATTCACACACCTGATCAACACATGGCTTAGGGGCTG